TTATAGGGCGGGCGGGACTCCGGCATCGCCCGTGACGTGACGTCAAGGCCACCGCCGTGGGTGGAGGCGGCCGCCGCCCCAGAAGAGGTTACTACCCCAAAACCACACACGGATGGCGGCACCCCGCCTACCTCGAGCATAGAAAGCCGCTGGGAGGAAATGGAAATGAACCCCCTAGCCGCAAACAGAAAGAACATGAGATTCAGATTTGAGGGCGGGAGTGGAGGCTGTGACCTAGTATCTGACAAAGTCCCAATTTTCCAAGCTCTCTGAAAAACCTCCGTGTATACTTCGGTTGGTTTTAATATTACAACAGGTAGGGATTCACTGGAACAGACGATGTAAAAGCACTTTAAGACCGAGTGACTTAATGATAGCCCAGTGTCTTTAACAAGGATAAATGAAGTTCAATAAATGGCCAGCGAGCGCGCACCTCCTTATACCTCAACCAAGGGCCCTTTCCCACCCACCACTATGAAGTGGCCACAATTTCAACCACCTCCCTTCCCATTCCTTTAGGTGGCCCAGGGCGCTCATCAAAATTGATATTAACCGTTTATTACCGACAAACTATACACTTGAAATATTAAACCGTCTCAACAGCCTTGCTGGGTAAAGTATTATCTCCCTATTTTACAAGGAGGACAAATGCCAGCTTTTCAAAGCCGGGAGGACTTTACACAGCAGGCCATGGCAGAAGCCAGATAAATTTAAATTCACATTCAGCTGACTCTAAAATCTTTCTACTCTGATAAAGGAATGTAGACTAAACTGATCTTTAATAAGAGAGTTTCTGGAGAGAACAACACTTAGCACAAAGAAATAATCTCTATTGGTAGCATATTGGCATATGGATGAAGGGTGGTGCCCAAGACTATACCCAGAGCTGCTTAATTTGACTAACCGTGATGTAGTCACAACCCCAGAACTGGATTTTCCTTGACTTGAGAGAAAAAAGCACTGTTCTAAGTGTTTCCATGTCCTAAAGATGCATATCTCTTCCCCCTCCTTCCAGTAAAGCAGGCTTTCTAGCAATGTGGTCACAGAGCATGTGTCCTAATTCTGAGAAACGTTTCCAATGCTACTTTTTAATGGCATATCACGCCGAGTAGGCTAAATAATACATTTAGCAGAATATTGTAATGACTCATGCCTTCTCTCATATTCAACATTTATTGAGAGCATATTTTGTGAAATCTACTTGTTTTTTATGCGAGGGGTTGGGGAAGGCAGTACAGAGGAAGATGAAATGATGACCAGCTCCCTGCTGTCCAGTGCAGTGTGCTGTGGGCCAGCTAGAAGAGTAATCCTGTTACATCAGATGATAAGGATTCAGAGTGCAATGGAAAACAAGGATGCAGTTCAATTTTGCCCATGCGTATCAAGGGGAAGCTTTGTAGAAAGAGGGAGAGTACACTCAATAGTTTTCCCAGCAGAAAATTTAAATGGAAGGACTGCCTGGTGACAAGGTGTGACTGAGAAGTGAAAATAAGACTAGAAAGATGGCACCACCCATCCGAGGGTAAAGCACGGGCCTGCACTGTCATCCTTTTCAGCAGATGAGATTCAGAACCTGCCCACAAATTTCAAAAGATGGTGGAAGATTTGGGTTAGATTTCAGGCCACGAGCCGACACTTTTGCACCTTTCTGCTCTCTTAGATGTCCATTTCTTTTTAATTCTGTTCTTCCCCCTTTCTTGTGCTTTCTTCTTATGGAGGTCAAAGCAAGTTGTACATGTATGTCATCAGAAATGTTTTACTTTGAAGTGAAAGTTGGCTCTTTACATTGCAATTGGAAATTTAGAGGCTGATAATTTACATTTGTGTGGAATATAACAAAGCATAATAGGGCCACAATGGCTAGTGCTTAGTATGACCTTTAGATTCAATCCAATTGAATTTTCATATAGAAATTCTACCACATACTAAGTTACTTAATATTTGAAAGATTCAGATTCTTCATCTGAAAATAGGAATAAAAATATCTATCTGCTGCTAAGCAGATCAAATGAGATAAGATACATAAACAAGTAGCATAGAGCCTAGCATTTGGTGAGTACTCAGGAAATGGTAACTATTATTACTAACCAAGATATTAATCACATTAAAGAATTAAGAAACTCTTATAAATGGAGCTACTCACAGAGCAAGTGGAATAATCTCCCTCAGTATTTTCAAGCCATGCACTTTGTACCTACTTCACATTAAGACTAACCATTTTGAACATTTTATGTGCATCATAAGGTAACTTAGAGCATCATAATCGAATCACAATGGCATTACTGCTTGATGACTGGTGGCATTCTGGAATATATGCATGAGAAGGAAACCAACCCCATGTAAGTGTGAGATTCTTTACATTCTGCATATTAAGCTCAGACAAACAGGAGCAATTTCAATAAATTAAGTAGAAAAGCAATTCTTTATCCTGGTGAATTGATGGTTCCCTCACCTAGAATGAGGTAAAGGGCAGTCCTAAAGGCAAATGCTCCTAGCCAACCACTCATTTTGGTGCCTAGTGTCTGGATCCTGATAATATTTTATACATTTAGTGGAAACAAACTCACTTTGACTATGCCAAAAGGTGTGCTACATAACCAAAGTATAAAGATGTGTTTGTTCATATAATTAATCATAAGTTTTTATGAATAGTGCCAGTGTCTGAGTATTAATTACATTATGGCCCTTTTTATGAGTAAATACATGAACCCCCAAACTAAAATTAAGAAATTTTCTAATGTATAAGTAATGTTTCCTATATTATAAGTAAAGGCGTTAGCTCTGTTTAGACGTCTATAATTTTCGACTTTTTCACCTTAGAATTTATCCATGCTAAAGAATATATGATTTATAGTTCCTTCATAAAGAGGTTTACATGAACTTGATTGTTGGGTACCTTGACATACTAGTAAAATAAAATTATTTGCTCTTTATAGCCTTAACATGATTGGCTTTGCAGACCAAGGACTAAGCAGATGGGGCTGAAGGTGGTGGATGGTTTGATAGGATGGAAACACACAAAAATGAATCATCTGGGTAGTTCATTTACTCATCAAGTGTATTTGGAGAACTAGATACTCTTCTAGACATTAGGTCCTTGTTTTTAAGGACCTTAAATTCTATTAAGGGGATACACATAATAAACAAGGCACAACACATAAAATAATTTTCAGTAGTAAGAAGTGCTAGAAAAGAAATAAAATATGAGTTCTAGCTGGTTTCGCTCAGTGGATAGAGCATCGGCCTGTGGACTGAAGGGTACTGGGTTCGATTCCCAGGGCACATGCCTGGGTTGCAGGCTCCATCCCCAGTAGGGGCTACACAGAAGGTAGTAGATCAATGATTCTCTCTCATCATTGATGTTTCTATCTCTCTTCCCCTCTTCCCTCCTCTCTGGAATAAATAAAAAATATATTTAAAAAAGAAATAAAATATGAAATATAGAGAACTTGGGATGATGGTGAAAGTTATAAAAATAAATACAAGGTAGTTCCTACACTTAAGTAATTCCCAGGATAAACAGATGGCAGGATAAAACAGAGGATTTTCCTACTGAACAGTAATGACAGTGTGGAAGAGCAGAGATATACATAGACAAGAATGAAGGTAGAGATAGAGAAGAATGAGGGATGCTAAACAGACAGAAGCCTTGAGTTGGTCCTCAACAATATGGAGGAATTTAGAAGATTATGGAATTCCTTTCACTAATTGTTTCTCAAATACTTCTGTTAGCACGACTAGACAAGAGCTCTCTTTAGCTTACTGAAGGAAGGCAAACTGATCGAATCACCTGAGAAACTTTTCAAAATGTTCACTCGATTCTTCTCACTGGATTCAGTAGGTTTGGTATGGGGTCCAGCTATATATATTTTTTAAACTTTCAAGAAAATTCTGATTGTACCTCTGATTAAAATTTTCTCCAGTAAGGGATGCAAAGATGAAAAAAGTCAAGGTATGTTCAGAGATATTATAAACTGGTGGGACTGTACATTCATATAGATGGAAGTTTTGTTGGAAATGTGAAAGATGGAAAAATGAATTTCAGCAGGAAGCATGTGAGTTAGTGTGTTGCACACACTTATTTTACCTCTAAGAAACTCATGTTACAAATGGACTCAAATGCTATTTCTTTAAATAGGGAACTACTTTAGTGTACTAAAAAGATGTCTGGGGGGAAAAGTCACTTTTTACTAAGTCCTTCAGGAACCAATTTGTTGCATAAATGGAATCAGAACTACACTGAATTAATATGGAAGCTCCCTAACTGTATTCTGCAGGAGACACCAGGAAACAGGATGTCTGCAACCATCAGACACTAAAATAGGAAGCATGTCAAATTTTAGTATGCTATTAATTCTTCATAAATTTAGGATTTCAGGATAAGATTTGGCATTTTAATATTTCAGAAAAATTATATACTGAAGTTAGATGGTTGAAGTAGAATCCTATGAAAGGTTTTTACTACTTGTAGTAATTAAATAATTATATCCTTGATTTTTAAATTATGTCCAGGCAACCTTTTATATGCATTTAACCTTTCTTTAATGCATTTCTACTTCCCTTATTGTTTTTGCATTTTATTTTACATTTCATCACTCCAGTTATCACATATTCAAATATTGTATGATGACTACTTGCTGAGTTGCTGAACTTTTAAGTAACTCTTGTTACCTAAAAATGGATATCATATGCATTCCTCTAAGAATTATATGAGTTCTGTTATGAGTTTAGTGTCTAAACATTCATGCATTTTTAGCCAAGCTAGGATTATATATAGATTTTGTTGTTTTTCCCCAT